TTTCCTCATGACTTATATAGTTTGATATTAAAGAACAACGACATTATCCAATGCAATGCATTCTCTAGTCAACAAAAAACCTGGAACACTCTGGAGCAGTATTCTCCCACTTGAAGAATCTAAACGAGCACCATACTTGGAAATCATACTTTTTTGTTTAATATGTGAGCTAACACATTCCACCAGAGTATCCTTTGTGTGTTCGCTGGAGCAAAAATGAGCAAAACAGAACATATTAGCAAAAAAAGGAAATGACTAGAAGAAAGTAACACGATAACAGAAGGAAAGAGTCTTTGGTAATTACTGGACGTAGTAAGGGAAAGACTCCCAAGAGAGCTGTATAGTTTCCCAAGGTTGAATTCTCCGCAAGAACTCATTCTTCAATCTTTCTCGTTTATTAAGGAAAGGTGACTCCTTTCTGCTTTCACTTGCAAGCTTCTCATTGTTGAGCCATTCTATTTGGTCTTGCTCTCCAAGTTGAGCATGAGAATCGAAATGCTCAACACCAGACACATTTTTCCCTTTTTCCGTCTTTTCTTTATTCAGAGGGAAACGGCTGTCCTCACTAGCATTGCTTCCATCACCTTCAGAACTAAACCGACGCAATTGGCTGTTCCAAGAATAACTTAAATAGTCTCTAGAGGCAACAGGAGAATGATGGTTTCTTGTCAAATGATTTGTTAGTATATATGTGGTGGATCTAGGAGATTGGGAAACGGTGTGGTCACGAATCACTGGCCTCCTCACTAAGTATTTGTCTTGCTGCAATACAAAACCCCATCTCTGGTTCCTTCTTATTGTCCTTGTATACATTGCAAGTTTCTTTCCTCTGTTAAGGTCACTGCAAAACCAAAAAAGACCAAAACCAATCTAGATTCAAATTAATGAACTGACTTCCTCGGAAGTTGGTGTTTAAGAATGACAAAATGCATAATAAAAATTCCATGTAATACAAAAAACCTAATTCAAGGAAAAATAAGAAAAAAATAGGTAGGTCTCCGCATGTTTCATTACCTAACTTGAGCTAACAGTTATGGACAAAAATGGTTTTGCTCATTCCATCTTAATATGTTAAGAATCAATCAGATCCTTGGAGGAAGAAGATGAGAGAAACTCGCGCGAGAGAGAGAGAGAGAGAGAGAGAGAGAGACCGAGCTTCGTATCGTAGGTTTCGAACTCTGGGCTTTGGCTTCGGTGACGTGGCGTTGTATTCTTTTAACCCATCTTGTTTTCACTTTCAAATGGGCCCATTTTAAATCTTATTTTGGGTCAGCCTCTGTAAACCAAATGTTTTTTTTACACAAGACACAACACCTGTTGTTCACAAGACACCACTGGTACGACTAGGCCTGGGCATTCGGGTACCCGTTCGGGTTCGGTTCTTTTTTTTCGGGTATCGGGTCTATTCGGGTAGGGGGTCGAGACCCATTCGGTTATTATAAATTATCGGTTCGGGTTCGGTTCGGTTCTAATTGGGTTCGGGTCGGGTCCTCTATTAAATTTAAGAACCGTTGAATACCCGAAAAGTTTCGATTATTTTCGGGTTCGGGTATAATTCGGGTAATTAGTAACCAAAAATAACCAAAAGTAACCAAAAATAACCAAACATACAAAACCTGATTATACTTATGCAAAAATAACTCAATTTGTCTAAATTATGAAACCAAAGACAGACATATAGATAAACTGATGCATTGTCTAAATTGAAACCAAACAAAAAGCAAACATAAGCTGATTAATTGTCTAAATTCAAAAGAGAACAAAACACAAACATTTCAATTGTTGTTAAAGTTACCAGAAACATACAACTACAGTCTACAAGCATCAGAAAGACATCATGTTCCTGTTACATTGAAAAGAAGATTCATCAATACCAAAAACAGTTCAGACAGAGAAAAAACAGTTTAGATTATTACCCAAAAGCCGAGTATGAGTCTTATAGAGCTACTCGTTTACTCCTAATGCTCCAAACTCTAAAAATCATTTAGAGAACACAATTTCAGTAGGTAAAAGCATACAATGCTACAAGTATAATTGAGAAATAAAGTAAAACCAACCTTTCTCCAGCTCATCTTGTGTCACAAAGTCAGCATATATATAAGACAGACTCATAGCAGCTTGCTCCTTTAACTTCATCTCTGACTTCATCCATTGGTCTGTGCACATCAAAACCTCAATGGTGTAATGACTAAGACAACTCCTACTTGGTTCCAGCATGCGTCCACTTGTACTAAAGGCAGATTCTGATGCGACTGATGACACTTGCATAGCAAAAACATCTCTTGCCATTTCTGATAATATAGGGAACTTACCAGAATTGCGCCTCCACCAATCCATGACATCATACTCATCACCAAACATATTACTCTTTGGATGCTCAGCCTTTTCTTTCAAATACATGTCTAATTCGTTCTGTGCATCATGACTCCTAACTCATCAACCATCTCATCATAAACACACTGCATTCTTTCAAATCCACCTCCAAGAGAAGCATCTGTATTTTCTAACTCCTCTTCAGCATATCCAGTAGCTTGTTCATGGCTAGCACTAGCAGAATTGCTCCCAACAGTATTAGACGATGATGCATCAGTAGAGACTTTGGGAAACATGCTACTATACTCCTTAAAAAGACTAGTCAACACAGAATATGTAGAATCATACATCTCTTTAGAATCTACACTATCTTTCCCATAGATCTTATCAAAGCAAAGCTGAGCAAATTGCATTTTCTTTGTCGGATCAAAGACAGTAGCCACAATCAAAAGCTTATTGATGTTTTTAAAACCCTCCCAATACTTATCAAACTTCTCTTTCATGTCCTTAGCCCTAGTCCTCATTTCCGGATCATTGCTCTGACTCAATAGTATCATATTCTTCTCTATTGTAACTATCTCTCCATAACACTTGTATGAGTTAACCGATGTAGAAGCAGAGACAATTAAAGTAGCAGTATAAAAGAAGTTCAGAAACTTTACCATTCTCTCTATCTCCACCCAATCCAAATAAGTAGGAGGACCAACCCTTTTCTTGCCTTTTTCCATCTCTAAGAAGTAGTTGTTGTAGATCTTATCTTCAGCTTCCATCCGATCAAAAAGCTTCTCTGAATCTTTGCGCTTTTATGAGCATCAAATAGGTTGAATTCCACCTGGTTTCGACATCTAGAGGCAAGCTTCCTCTACTCAGATTAGATGCATCAACCCTTTGATCAAATGAGATCAATCTCTTTGTAGAAGATCTCACAAAAGTCACTGCATTCCGAACTGCTTCCACATGGGAATTGATCTCATGCAATCCATCTTTGACTATCAAATTGATGATGTGAGCTGAACACCTCATATGCATCATCTCAGCATCTAATATGAATGCATTATTCCCATTCTTTGCCCTGAAGGCTCTTTCAAATTTCTGAAGTGCAGAAGTATTGGCTGTTGCATTATCAACAGTGATAGTGAAGATCTTCTCTATACCCCATTCATCCAAGCAAGAACTCAAAACAGCTGCAATTGTTGCCCCTTTATGATCTGCCACATACTTAAACCCTATGATCAGCTTTCTTAAATGCCAATTTGCATCAACAAAATGGCAAGTTATTACCATATAACTTGCACCAGTTACGTGAGCTGTCCATATATCAGTAGTGAGAGAGACCCGCTGCTTAGTTGCACGCATCCATTTCCTCATTTCTTCTTTCCGCTTCACAAACATCTCATAGATGTCTCTTGTTGCAGTTCTTCTAGAAACTGGCTTGTACAAGTTGCATTTGGTAGTGAAATGTCTCCAAGCTATACTTTCAATGAATGAAAGTGGCATCTGTCCTAATACAAGCATTTCATTTGTTGCTTCTCTAACCACTTCAATTGAAACCTTACCAGCCATTAGATGACTACCATCTGGATTCAGAATCTTCTGCATTTCACTGTCTTGCCAAACTTTGAATTGCTTGCACGCAAAAGTCAGATGCTTCTGCAGATTTGAAGTCCCTGATGTTGTAGGACAGGCGAGTGTCTTCCCACAATAGTGACATGAGCATTTGTTAATATTATCCTTCAATCTGGTAAAATGCTCCCACACATACGACCTTTCTCTTTCTTCTTTGCTCTTTGCTTTGCCCTTACCCTTAGAACTTTTTCATGAAGCTTCTTTTGATTCTTTTCTTTTCTTTCGATTCTCAGGAATCCTCGAATCATCTTCTGTATCTTGAGTTTCAGCATTCATATCCAAATCAACATCTTCTTCTGGAAGTGATGATGAACCCATCTAATAAGAAGAGTCAAAACGAAAATAAAAATCAAATCGAGCAGTAGAGAGTAAATTGAAAACGAAATACAGTAATCAACAATTGAAAACGAAATACAGAATCAACAAAACCCTAAAACACTAAAATCATCAAAAAACACAATCGAGAAGTAGAGAGTAGAGAGTAGAGAGTTAGAGATTATCTAATCGACAAAACCCTAATCAAACAACAATCAAATAGAGAAGAACAGACGAATCGGAGGAGAGAAGACTTACGGCGGATCGATTTCTCGATGAAGATTCCAGATTGAATATCGATTAGCGACTTAGGTTTTTTTAAGAGAAGAGGACTTAGGTATTTGTCGGAAAAGGGGAAGAACCGATGGTATAGGTTAATATCTGGGGTGTAATTAGAGTAGATTAGTTATAATCGGGTATTAATTTCGGGTCAAGAAAGTAACCATTCGGTTCTCGGTTTTTACCCGAACCGAAGACAGACCCGAATTATTTCTATATGGAGAACCGATCGGTTATAACTGAATCCAAATACCCGAACCGAATTGCAAAATTTCGGTTCGGTTCGGTTCGGGTATTCGGTTCCGGTTATTATGCCCAGGACTAGGTACGACCTAGGTAGTGGTACATAAGCTCGTATTAGTAGTTGATTTGGTATTTTCTGGTGTGTATATAAGATTTAGCAATGAGCCCGGGCTGAAATAATAATCGAGTTCCGGTTTACCGATCTGACCGGCCGGTTCGGTGAGATATTAATGAGGTTTATTTATTTATTTTTCAATTTTCTTCGGGATTATGCGAACAGTACAGTGAAAGATGGACAAAATTATCAGTTTAATAGCAGAAACACAATCAATGACGGCGAAGATGGCGACCACTCAGTCGCAGTTCTTGATGAACCTCTCTCATGGACTCTCCTCCCAACGGTTTGTTATCACTTTCCTCTTTTTCTCTTGTTTTTGGGTTTTTCTGATTTTTTGTTTTGTTTTTGTAGCAATCTCAGCGCGGATAATCGTGTTTCATCTTCTTCATGTCAAATTACACGAAAGAATCGGTCATGGGCATTTCCAGTTTCCTTAAAAGTTGAGAAATTTCAACTCCAACGAGGAACGAGAAGAAGAGGATCACCATGTTTGGTCAAAAATGGGATTGGTGATGCTGATGGGATTATAATTGTCGATCACGGTTCTCGCCGCCGTGAATCCAATCTTATGCTTGGTAATACTTCTGTTTCTGTTCCTTCTCCTTCTTCATCTTCTTTGTATGAGTTTATGTAATTGTGTGGTAGTTTCTGAGTTTCAGAGGAGTTTGTGAAAATGTTCAAAGACAAAACTGGATACCCAATTGTGGAGCCTGCTCATATGGTAATTCTTCCTAATGCTCTAACCTTTCTGCATAGTTATCGACAAACTTTAACGTTTGGCTGTGCCAAAATTGTGAATAATTGAAGAGGATTAGTTTTGGTCATTGTCACCATTTTGCTCCCATCTTATGCCATAGTGTTCCGCTAGTTCCATTAGTTTAATTGACTGTATTCACTTGTGTGAGAACCATACCCATGAGTTTGAAACATTCTGATTTCAGTTTCTTGATCATCTTTTGGATTTAGCTTAATATGTTTTAATGACAACTTAGATGAAATCAGCATTTCATTGCTTCTCACTTTCAAGCTCTGCTTACTGTTTGCTGATGTTCACACTTTACATCAGGAATTGGCTGAGCCATCTATAAAAGATGCATTCAGTTTGTGTGTACAACAAGGGGCAAAACGAGTAGTTGTGAGCCCATTTTTTCTGTTTCCTGGAAGACATTGGCATAAGGTATGGCTCTGTTCATCTCAATTTGTTTTGTTTTCTTGAAGCTTTTAGCTTTTCTAATTTCTGGGATTGTTGGAGGATTTACATTATTGGCCTACTGAGATCATGACCCTTATTTGATTAAGGACATCCCCTCGTTGACGGCTGATGCTGCAAAGGAGTTCTCTGGCATCTCATACCTCATAACTGCACCTCTCGGCCTTCATAATCTCCTCATGGTAAGAAATAAAGCAAAACGAGCTAGCACTTTAAACCTAAGGAATGCGAGCACCCTCATGCATTAGTGAATGCCACTTGTTTCCCTTTGAACCTCCAATAGTCAATCTTCTGATGTTTTAATCTTCACAAGAGATCTGTACTTCTTTTGACTCTTGACGTTTCAGTAATCTGCTAATATTTCTTCCTGCAGGACGTTGTGAACGACAGAATCCAACATTGCTTGAGCCATGTTGAAGGTGATGCTGACGAGTGTCTTGTTTGTGCTGGAACAAACAAGTGCAAGCTCTACAATAGTTCTTAGGTGTACATGTAAGAACGTTTTTGTATATCTCCTCCTCTTCTCTAACCTTTCGGATGCGGGAAAAAAATAAGGCATATTATATTGTTCATAGTCATCAATTAGTACGTCCTATGTTTCAACAAGGGAGTTTTGAGCTATATGTCATGTTCTTCTTATTGCAGACCAATTTGAAAGGACCACAATAATATAATAAGAGCTGCCTGTTAAATGTCTTGTCTCTCCCTCTTATCAACAACTTAAGAAACTGAAATTTGATGTATCGTATATGAGCAATGTTTCATGGTTATAAAAATATAAGATTCTCTCGATGCTTTTTCTGGTCTTCTTTTTTTTTTCTTATTGGGTTTCGTGCATTGCATTTGTTGAATTATGAGTAAGCTCTTTTAACCACAAGGCAGAGACCATTTTTCCTTATTGTAACTTCTGCAGTTAAAGGTTAGAAGGAAAATGTATGGTTGTAGGAGATAGCAAAGACTTTTGAAAGTCTTCCACTAAATTCTGATGGATGAATATGTGGATGTGGTGGTTCATGGACCAGCACAAAATAACATTTCAAGAAGTCGTTTGGTAGCTGTACCATATAATTATGTTCACATGATGCTGAGAGTTGAATAATTCAGAAAGGGACAAAGAGTGTTATGATTGAGTTGACTTGGACTCTTGTGTCATGAAGGTAGTGCGTAGTTGACTCTTTTCTAGTGTATGAGATAGAGATTTGGGAGAGTCACTAGAACACGAAATGGCAGAGGCTATTGTTTCTGTTACAGTGCAGAAGCTGGGAGAGTTGCTCTTGGAAGAACCGTTGTTCTTATTTGGTATAGGTGACCAAGTGAAGCAGCTGCAAGACGAATTGAAGCGTTTGAAGTGCTTTTTGAAAGATGCAGATGAGAAGCAGTATAAAAGCGAGAGAGTGCGTAACTGGGTTGCAGGCATTAGAGAAGCTTCTTATGATGCAGAGGATATCATCGAGGCATGTTTCCTCAAAGCAGAATCAAGGAAACAAAAAGGGATGAAAAGGGTGCTTAGGAGGCTTGCTTGCATCTTGAACGAGGCGGTTTCACTTCATAGTGTTGGCTCAGAGATTAGAGAGATCACCTCCAAGCTTTCTAAGATAGCAGCAAGCATGCTAGATTACGGTATAATAGAAGCTATGGGCAGAGAAGGCTTGAGTTTATCTGATAGTCAAAGAGAACAGAGGCAGTCGTTTCCATTCGTTGTTGAGCATAATCTTGTCGGGTTGGAGCAGAGTCTTGAGAAGTTGGTGAATGATTTAGTTTCTGGAGGTGAGAAACTAAGGGTCACAGCCATCTGTGTGATGGGTGGTTTGGGGAAAACAACTTTAGCCAAACAGATTTTCCATCACGGAAAAGTGAGGCGTCATTTCGATAGGTTTGCTTGGGTATATGTTTCTCAAGATTGTAGACGGACACATATTTGGCAAGAGATTTTTCTAAATCTCAGCTACAAGGATGAGAATCAGAGAATACTCAGCTTGAGGGATGAACAGCTTGGAGAGGAGTTGCATAAGTTCTTGAAAAGGAATAAATGCCTCATTGTGCTTGATGATATCTGGGGCAAAGATGCTTGGGATTGTCTGAAACACGTTTTTCCACATGAAACAGGTAAACTAGTAGTATTCATGTTCAAATACAATTCATGTTCTATAATCCTTATCATTTTTATAGGCTAGTAGTATTTACTGTAGGAAGCGAAATAATTCTCACCACTCGGAACAAGGAAGTCGCTTTATATGCTGATCCCAGGGGTGTGCTTCATGAGCCACAATTGCTAACATGTGAAGAGAGTTGGGAGCTGTTGGAGAAAATTTCATTATCTGGAAGAGAAGATATAGGTAATCATTTTTCTCTAATCTTTCTGCAGCATATATACTATCATACTTCACACATTCACCTGATATGCAGAGCCAATGTTGGTCAAGAAACTGGAGGAGATTGGGAAGCAGATAGTCGTAAGGTGTGGAGGTTTACCTCTAGCTATAACAGTTCTTGGAGGACTTCTGGCAATGAAAAGTACATGGAACGAGTGGCAAAGAGTATACGAGAACATCAAATCATATGTTTCAAACGGAGGTAGTAGCAATGGAAGTAAGAACATGCTAGTTGCAGATGTTTTATGCTTGAGTTACGAGTACTTGCCTCCCCATCTAAAGCAATGTTTCCTCTACTTTGCTCATTATCCTGAAGACTATGAGGTTCATGTGGGAACATTAGTTAGTTACTGGATCGCAGAGGGAATGGTTATGCCTATAAAACACACAGAGGCTGGCACGACAGTAGAAGATATTGGGCAAGATTATCTCGAAGAATTAGTAAAGAGAAGCATGGTTATGGTTGGGAGGAGGGACATTGTAACTTCGGAAGTCATGACATGCCGTATGCATGACCTCATGAGGGAGGTGTGTTTACAGAAGGCAGAGCAAGAAAGCTTTGTCCAAGTTATTGATTCAAGGGATCAAGATGAAGCTGAGGCTTTTTTATCTCTTTCGACCAATACATCTCGTAGAATTTCTGTTCAATTACATGGTGGAGCAGAGGAGCACCAGATCAAGAGACTTTCTCAGGTGAACTACATAAATCCTCGGTCTAGATCTCTTGTGTATATTATAAAGAATCAAGGAAGTTCATGGGAACTTTTGGGTAAGGTTTCCTTCAGAAAGATGAAACTTCTTCGAGTTCTAGATCTCGAGGGAGCTCAAATAAAGGGAGGGAAGTTGCCAGACGATGTAGGAGATCTCATCCATTTGAGATACCTGAGCGTGAGATTGACAAACGTGAAGGAACTTACATCATCTATTGGAAACTTAAAGTTGATGATTACTCTAGACTTGTTCGTGAAGGGGCAACTGTATATTCCAAACGTGTTATGGAAGCTGTGCCGGCTGAGACATTTGTGTATGCCTTCAGATCTTGATCCCATAACAAAGCTGGACTTGAGTACTCTAAGAAACTTGCAGCAACTCTGGGATTTTCCTGTTGGAAAATGCAATCCAAGGGATCTTTTAGCAGTGACAAGTCTTAGAAGATTGTCTATCAATCTTTCTTCGCAGAACACAGACTTCGAGGTGGTATCTTCTCTAAGTAAAGTCTTGAAACGTCTCCGTGGCTTGACGATAAACGTTCCATGCGAACCTATGCTTCCACCAGTTGATGTAACACAGTTGGTTTCTGCATTTACTGATCTCTCTGAACTGGAACTGTTTCTTAAACTAGAGAAGCTTCCAGGAGAACAGAGTTCTCCTCTGATCTTGGTGCTCTACGTTTGTGGCAATGCGGATTAGTGGATGACCCGTTTCTGGTTCTCGAGAAGCTTCCAAACTTGAAGATTCTCCAACTGTTTGAAGGATCATTTGTAGGTAGTAAGCTTTGTTGTTCCAAAAATGGTTTTCCTCAACTGCATTCTTTGACATTGTCAGAGCTTGAGAATCTAGAGGAGTGGACTGTAGAAGACGGTGCCATGATGCGTCTTGTCTCCATGGAGTTGAAGTGCTGTAAGCAACTGAAGTCAGTTCCTGAAGGAACGAGATTCCTGAAGAATCTACAAGAAGTGGAGATTGGGAACATGAAAAAGGCATTTAAGGACAAGCTGATCTCTGGTGGTGAAGATTTCTACAAGGTTCAACATGTGCCTTGTGTTGTTTTCGAGAACTGTGACCTTTAAGGATTTGGGTGGTACATGGTTTTATGTTCTTGTTAAAGATTCCCCCTGAAAACATAAGTTTGATTTTTCATTGATTTCGTTTTAGTCCCGAGTTCTTTGTTTCATTTTGGATTCTCTTCAATAAAATGAAAACAATTAAGGTATAAGCAAAACTTTCCTCTGTCCTATCCGAATCAATAAGGATCATCCTTTAAAACTACCACAAGTTTCTTTTTCATCTGAAGACCTCAAAACTTTGATTTCAACATTCCAAGTAAGATAATCAGATGATAAATCGAGAAACTTATTAAAAGAATAGACAGAGGATATTGTTTCATGTAAACAAGTCATATCCAACGCGCATCAATAGCTTTCTACGAATGAATATTTTTGGTAATTGTAATTCTCCTACACAAGAGTCACATGTGTAGAACCACTCGATCAGGCGCATTTAGTTTCCTTCTCACATCAATATTGGTGGTTCCATGATAACGTAAAACAGAGTAAATGAATTTGAAAGAACTTCTGAGTATTATTACGATAAATGGATTACAACGTTCATGGCAAACGCGGCACCACTTCTCATCTGCAAGAGTCTCAAAGAGAGATCCAGCAAAACGATGAGAAAAAGCTTGAGAACAAGCAGAGAACGAAATAAAGAAGAAGATTACAAACTCAGATTTAGCATAATGAAGAAGATGACACTCGTTTGCTTTTAAAGGAGAAGAACAGCTCCAATGAAGAAGAGGATGATACAAGGCTCTTGACTGTTGAGATATATTTTGCTCGGTTCGATGGTACTTTTAGTTATTTGGAATAGAAGATGTATGCATGCTTTCTTGAAATTCAAGATATTCCAAATTTCCAATCAAATTAGAAAAAAAAATAACCAACACTTAGAATATGAAATCCAAAACATAAAGCAACTAATAAATATAGGAAAGCGGAAAGGAAGGTAGATGTAAGCGAGCGAGCTACACATTAATCATTATTCCCATAGTCTTATACTGAAAATTAAGAACAATGAATTTGTTTTCAAACTGATCCCAGTAAAGCTTCAGAACATCGCCTTCTACGAGATCTAACGAATGCTTCATAATACTCCAACCAGTCCCGAAATAATACTTAGTGTCGTCAATTCTTTTCAGGGTAACTGTGCATAAATCGTCTTCTATTATGTCGTGGACTTGCACTTCAAAACCGTTGTCCAAACCCTCATCTGTAACACCATTCATCCTCGTGAGGACAGACATCACTTGTGTTTTTGGTAATACCACATTACCAACAATGTCACTCTTTGATAGAGTCTTTGATATGATCATAGCCCCGTCTAGTTCATCTCTACCATAATTCATCTTGCTAAAAAATTTAACACTAGATCTTTTGAAAGTAGAAGAATACTTGTATATTTTTCTGTCTTCTTAGATGCAAACATATATATATATATAGGAGGCTTAACCTAAGAAGAATGGAAAATACAAGAGAAAAGGAATTCGGAGGAAGTGAAAATTTTCCGTTAATAAATTTTAGCGGGCCGGCCCGCCGCGGTAAAATACTCGGATTTCTATTAGAAATTGTTCTTATCAAAGTAAGAAAACAAAATGGAAATTTTCTCAATCTCCGTTAACAAAATGGAAATTGTCTAATTGTATTTCCTTAATACTCCCGAAGTGGAAAATGGGAAGAGGCATTGTAACTTGGGAAGAAAGAAATTGATTCAAGAAATCAAAATGAAGCTGATGAGACTTTCTTAACTTCGAAAAAGAACATTGATACATCTCGCAGATTTTATCTATATTTACTCTAGAATTGTATGTGATATGGACTAAGGATCATCCTTAGAAACCACCATAAGTTTTTCCTTTATCTAAAAACTACCAAAATTCAAATTCAAGACTCCTTCCCATCACGTGTATTGACAACGATAGGGACAATTTTTAGATACATTAAAAGCTCAAAGTTAAAAAGAAAAACGAAATACACACTAAATTTCTTCATGTAGCATCCTTAGTTGTCGCTGCTTCAGTCCATCTTTCCATTGGAGAAGTCCTACCACAATGGATCGCAGAAACAAATGTCAATAATAAGTATCGAAGTAACACATGATAGTACAATAGTTTTCCTAAACCCTCTTGACTACCATAGTGTCTACGCAACAGCGTTTACATCCATTACACACTGGTCTAGAGTTGCCACTGTTGGATACAATAAGAATACTTTCAGCACCTTTATGCATCCTGATCATATGGTTTGGCTTCATGTAGACCCTATCACCCAGTAAGCATGTAACATGAAGAGTGACTGAACAAGAGTTGCATGTATAGAACCACTTTGTAGCATCTAGTTTTGTTTCACAGATCTCGCACCAATACTGGGGATCTGTTGTCTTCTCTTCTCCGCAGCAAAAAGTGAGTGGATGTTTATCGTGCTTGTAGTGAGCCACAGTAGGCAGAGTAGCACATTTAAGACCCAAAAAGAGCTGGCATTCGATACATTCTAGGTACATAGATGAGCAGGTGGAAGACTTACAAGCCATGCATTCACCTTTGGTCAAATTGATGAATAACGGGTGATCATGTGGATCGCAGTCATGGATTATAGGATCAGTAAGTGAAGCGCATCTTGCATCTATTTGAAATTCACAACCCTTTTCGCAGCACTTGTACATGTAACCACAACATTCTCGGCTACAACCCTTGCACACGAAGAAACTTAGGTCATAATAATGAGACTGGAGCTTGTTGAGATGAGAAGAGAGTAAATGAAAGAGGGTGAGCGGATGGTGTATTTTGCGAGGAAGGCATGCACATGTTTCGTGGAGAACAAAATCGCATTGGACACAGCTATAGAACCTATCTGAAACTGTTATCCGGAGGATGCAGGCTTGGCAAAACTTGTTTTCATGGTCTCCATTCGCATGATGAATCTTTAGATAGTGATGGTCATGACTGAAATGTTGTATAGTCTCTTCATCAATCCTCACGAATGGCTCAATAACTTCTTCTTCTTCAGGCACTCCCTCAAGATCTTTCCCATCCCACACTTCTTTCTTTGTTGCACATTTTGAATAAACAGCATAATGACATCCCTTGATGCAAGAGTATTGGCCGTAATTGATGTCAACAGTTTTGCGACAAACGCCACAAGACAGCCAGAGCCGTAGCTGGATAGAAGCAAGAGAAGCGGGAGCTGCGGCCCTCCGAGAAGTTATTTATATTTTCGGCCCTCAAATACCTATGTGTTTTGGTAGCCTAGTGGTATTATGTCATACACCACATATCTTAGGTCATGAGTTCGAATCACCTGAAGCGTGAGAGAAGATTTTTTTTTGTTTTTTTTTATGGTTAAATTTTTTTATAAGTATACACTTTTCTAGAGCGGCCCTTTTTTTTTTTCTCGCGGGCGGCCCTCATAATCGTTGCTACGGCTCTGAAGACAGCTCATCACCAGAAGGAACAAGGGAGGAAGTGATAGAAAGGCGATGATGGTGACGGGTGATCTTAATGACACGAGGTAAGTAGATACATCTTCTATGGACCATGTAGTTACAAAGCAGGCAAGAGTAAACTGAATCATCGAAAGTGTTAAGTGAAAAGCCACAAGCATCACATAGAAGAGGGAGTTGTCTAGGAAAGAGGGTAAGGGTGTGGTCATGGTTTTTAAGGTTTTCAATAGTGAGAGGTGGTGAATCCTTTACGCAAGAAGAGTGTAGACTGAAATTGCAGATAGCACAATGATAGTATGTCATATCAAAAAGCGAAACATAGTCTGTGTCGCTGATATATGTAATATTTTTCCGACAGGATTTGCATCTTTTATGATTCCCATCTGAGGCATCTCCAGAAATATCAATGTATGATTCGGAGCATCAAATTTCAGGAAACTTAGAGCTATTAAGACGAGAATCTAAGAAGGTGAGGGTGAGAGGGTGGATGAGGTGGAAAGGGTGTTTAATTTCTGGAGGAAACAAGTGACAACATCTGTGAAATTCCAAGTCACAAGTAGCACAATAGTCATAGTACCGACCTTTATCCCGAAGGTGTTGTTGGCCTTTGCAGGTGATGCAGAGGGTGAGTCGTGGTTTCGTTCGTTGGCAAAGTTTGTGAGGCTCTTTTGGATCAGACAGACGACACAAGGGCAGACTTTTTTTTCCTTTCATGGTTGTAGAATCTCAACTATGAATTCTCTTGCTTTAGAGATGGACTTCTTCACCCCCTTTGTAGTGAATGGTCATTTATTTTTCAAGCCAGGAGCTACTATGTGCCAACTTGAGTTACTATTGCTGTCATAACTCACTTTCGTTATTCTCTTATGAATTATTGAATTGTAAAGTTTTATCTTTTGAATCTATCCATAGATTTTTGTTTTAAGAAAGTTGAATTACTTTTGCACAACAAAAAAAAGAAAGTTGAATTACTAATATTCTTTAAAAACTGATCGCAATTAGCGTTACAGTTACCGTATGATCTTAAGCTATAAAACAACAAATGACGTTAGTCTAGGATTTAGTATTCTAAACATTCTAGGAGCTAGTTTTTCACCTACGAGTATATATCACTGTTTTTTAGTAATGTGCGATTCAGTTTCAACAATCCAAAACAAATTTGAAGGAAAAATAAGTAAATCAATTCAGTTTTATGCTTTTTATACTGATGGTAACTAAAACCAACCGGACCATAATCTGTTAAACCAAACTCTGAACCGCGCAACCATACGAAACCCAAGAAATATGACGTATACACTAATAAATTTTTAAAACAAAATCATTTCAACCGATAAATGAAGTTTAGTGAAGAAAAAACAAACTTTTCAACCAAAACCGAAACGGATGGTCTCACAACGGGAATATAACAACAATAAGTAAACTTTGACTGAAGAGTGATACAACAAATTCCATCACAAAAACAGAGAAATTTAACAGATTCTTAAAACATGTGAAAAACGGTGTACAATGAAATCAAATAAGTAGAGGTTATTCTGACCTCACAGATTATGTAATCTCCCGACCAAATCAGTTGAGCTTCATTGATGCAAATGATGCAGCCATATCCAAAGCCGCCTGCACTTGAGAAGCATCCGTTCCCTGAAACCAAAACAACATGTTGAAGATTAAATCTCTTTGTAGATGATACTCCTCCATTTACCATTGTAGACTAAAGAGAAAAGGATTTATACCTGTCCTGATGCAAGACCACCTTTTCCTTTCCCGCACCTCCCTTTTAGAGGACCCAATGCAGTTGTCAACCATTCAGTGACGTCTAACGGCTTGAACTGGTCTGATTTTTCTGGAACTCCTGCACACACAACTGCCTTGTTTGTGCTTTCATCTGTGCTGAACACCATTATCGACATTCCCTGCAAGGTTCATCAAACAAAACGTTTATTTCACTTTCTTGCTTTCTATGAACAGATGATGGTAGAAGTGATGCTGTAAGAAAATACGGATTACCTTCTTTTCCATGACTTTTGAAACGGCCTCTCGCACAGCTGCTGCATCAAGACCAACATCCAGCTGGATTATGCAGAAAGTCTTCCCATCTGATGCTGCGGACTCAGCTGCCTCTGTTGCTACTTTGACAGATTTTTTCAGGTTTTGTTCCGCTATTTTCTTCTGAGCTTTTCTTACTTCATTCTGCAAAGTTAAGAAAATGATAATTGTCACTTCAGTATTGCTTGCTTTGATTACAAAATTACAGGGAAATCTAGACAAAGCTGCGGACTGTAAGGCTGAAAGAGCTTATAACCTGAAGCGAAGCAATTTTTGCCCTGATATCTGCCTTTTTAGCTGCTGGGATAATTGCTGCATCTACTCGGCTTTTCAAAGCAGAAACTTTCTGTGAATGTGCAAATACGAATACAATAAGTTTTACGTGAATCCAAGTAACGACATCGTCTTAGTTTGTCAATAGTTGACAAAGAAAGGGAGAAAACCTTTTCCAATGCACTTCCCTCCGCTCTGGACGCATCCTCTACTTCTCTTTCAAGTAAGGATGCCGCATTCAACGCATCAAAAGCACATTCAGTAGTCACAGCAGTTACCCTACGAATACCTTTTGCAATTCCCTCCTCCGATAGAAGAGCAAACGCTTTGGCTTCACGGGTGTTTGTTATGTGGGTTCCTGGAATTGTCAAAATAACCCAATACTCAATATTCAATTCAGAAAGTAATATTTTGGTCCCAATAGCTAATGCCTATGGAAACCGACCTCCACAAAACTCAGAAGAAAGCAATGACCATTCATTATTTTCAGGATCAGCCAAGAGATCCTCAACCTGTCTCCCAATTGACACCACTCTGACAGGATCAGGGTAGACCTAAAAAGAGTAAAGAGAGATTGCTTTAACAATTCATAGAAACCAAACTAAAAAGGCAGCTACAGAACTGATGGACAGCTTACTTCTCCAAACACTGCTCTTAGACCTTTAATGCGCTTGGCTTCAGAAAGCACTGCTTCCTTGGAAAATACATCTAATTCATCCTTGATCTGTTTATTCACTATGGATTCGATCCTTCTCAGATCTTCAGGATCAACCGGCTTGCCTACTCGAAATAATGGCACCCATTAGATAATTAAAATGACCATCCACATCAAAATAAATATGACTTGTTAAATAATGTACCATGGGAAAAATCAAATCGCAATTTTTCAGGAAGAACTATTGATCCCTTCTGATCAATATGATCCCCGAGCACTTCCTGAACTCATGGGACATGAATGTTTTGAGATCCAATAGAAAAAAATTAGTAAATCATCGTTTTAGAGTAACTTAAATTATAGAGAAGGGATACCTTCAGGGCAAAATTCAACATATGTGTACAAGTATGATTAGGAGCGATGAGTTTACGTCTCTCATAGTCAACCTACACGAATGGAAATGAAGGTGGAAACAATTTAGATAGTACCAAATATGCTGAATGAGCCAAACACTGTTTGATGCAGAGAGTTACCTTGCAAATCACTTTATCCCCCACAGATACCTCTCCAGCATCTTTAGAGAGATAACCAATATGAACAACAAAGCCCCCAAATATTTGGACATTGCATACATTGAATGTACCAAACGAGCCTTCTATTAATCCTGTATCAAAAATCTATTGCAAGAGCAAAAATGTTAGGCACAGATTTTGTATACATATAGATAGTGAGAAGTGAATGAAAAGCTAGCCATTGTTCATGGATATGAAATCTAAAAAATTTATGCGACTGTCAACAATGACTTCAGAAATTAGTCTGCAAAACTGGCAATAACTATATCATGGTATTTGCCAGCCGATACGTAAATTCAAACAATGCAGTTCTGATATGATAGTGTTCAACTTGGATATCATGCCACCAGTCATATGATCAAAAATGAAAAACAATCAGCAAACTAAGCTACGTATCAAATAAAATGGATTACCTGACCACCCTGCTCAGCATAGAAACTTGTAGACCCCAATACTAGTCCCACGTTATCAGTAGCAGCTAAACTTTCCAGGAAAGTAGAGCCAGTGTAGATTGCCTTTAGTTCACTCTCGTGATCCTGCAGCGACATGTGGCAGGGTATCAATAAAGATTTATTTGAAGTAAATTTCATTTACTCCTCTATGCCCTAACTTCTTCATTTCTGTGCCAACATAAAAACAATTCAGGTGCAACACACAAGTTTTCTGGAATAATAGGACAAACCTGGAACCAAATATATTTGAAAGAATCATCTGTTGCTGACACACCAGTCTTGTGCAATGTTGATGTAGCATCAGCATCCATAACAATGGCGCCACCAGCTTGCTACCAAAAATTGACATTAAAAAGATTAGTTAATAGCTAATGTGAATGCAAACTTCCTCCATAGCCACGTAAGTTTGGCATTAAACACTCTTCAAGAAAGTAAATGAAGAAAGAAAGTTGAAACACCTTATTCTGGGCACTTCTCGATCTTTCCCTCGCCTCTTCCATGGCTTTGTTGAAACCTTCAACATCAACCAGTAACCGTCTTTCTTCAGCCATCAACTGAAACCCGAGAATGAAAGTTAGAAAATAACACAAACTCAGAAATAAATACGTATTCCCAGAAATAAATACGTATTCCCAGAAATAAATACGTATCCAGAAAGAAATGACTTAAGTACCTGAGTCAAATCTAACGGGAAGCCATATGTATCCCATAAGACAAAAGCATCCTGCAAAGAGAAGACAGTATGTTGAGATGGAATTCAAACATCCCAGATGAAAATACTGCAACATCTAACATACATCACAAAAATAATTAGATACGTACCTCTCCACTCAGTGTATTCCCCTGAACCGCCTGTTCAGCTTTCTGAAATTTCTCAATTCCCTGCCAAGAAAATTTATAATCATTCTAACTGTTCTTGTACTCACCTATTATAAGGACAAACAGGTCAGACCAATTCATCTTTCAGAAAAAGGTTCCCTATAGACAATGGTAAGCTGAATCATGTCTAACCAACATCATTAAAACTAAACGATGGTGAAATTGGACACAAGATTACAAAGGTAAAAGTGGAATTGATATTGAAGCTGTGAATTGTTTCTTATACTTCAGTGCAAAGAACAAAATAAGAAAAAGGTTAACAGCTTTGACGGAAATTAAATCCAGCCCTCACCTTCACCAAGGTCTTGCAAAAGCTTGCTTCTTCTTCTTTTATTATCTCTGTGATCTTTTTCTCATGTTCCTTCAACTCTGTAAAGACATCTCCCATCACCCGAATAACAGAACTTACAAGCCTACAGGTGAAAAAAAAAAGCCCGAGATAAAAATGTATCAAAAATATTCTGCATTTACAAAGATACAATATAGAAATAAACATGTTTGAGCTACAAAGAAAAATTTTGAAACAAAACATGCAACGACAATCAAACATAATTTCCTACCCATTGAAAAACCCTTCTTCAGCTTTTAGGATCTGCTTTCCATAGCGAACTGCTCGACGAAGAATACGCCGCAGAACATACTCACGGCCCTCATTACCTGCAAGAGAGTGTATATCAATTGGAACTTGTTAAACTACAAGAAAATATACACCCTATTTATATTGGCTGAGGAAGAAAATTGTCAAACCAATCATGCCCAACTCAAATAAATGATCGAATACTAAGACGTTTGTATTTTTGTAAACCATCACAAATGTAAATGAGACAAGAAACCAATAACATACCAGGACGAGAGCCATCCGCGATAGCAAATGACAGGGTTCTAATATGATCAGCAACCACTCTATATGCCATGTCAACTCTGTCATCATCTTCCGGACCAACTTTTCCAGAATATGCCCTAGCTCCCGTTGCCTAAAAATGTGAAGCATCAACACCTACACTTAAGATTCCCAACAACTAGGGGAA